GGTCCCGTTACCATTTTCTGCCTCTGGTACTCAAGCACCCATTCGTCTGCCATCCTCTCCTGCTCCCGCTGCTCCTCCTTGCGCCGCTGGTTCTCATCGTTGATGCGTTTAATCTCAGCCTGGATTTTCTTCTGTTGTTCCTGCCTCCGCTCCAAGTCCTGAAAACGGTGCCAAGGGCCCGAGGGTGACAGGGCAAGCGCTGCAGCCCGGAGCGCTGCCTCTGCTCCTCCCCACGTGCCTTCCTGAGGGCCCACCAGCACACCGGGGGAGAGGGAGGGCTCAGCGCTTGGTCACTTTCTGAGGGTGCCTCAACTTCCCCAAGAGAGCAGAGCTCTCATTCTGCCGTCTCCACACACCAAGTCTGCCTCACCCAGCACTGGGTCACCCTTCCAACAAGGTCAAAAATCTAACTCCAGCCCCCGCCCCGCTCCCCAGCGGGTCACTGGTCGCACCTTCAGGTCCTCCATCTTCAGTCGCTCCAAGTGCTCCAGCAGCTCCTGGGCCTCCTGGTCCCGTTGCTCGGCTCTCATTGCTTGCTCCTCCGCGTTCTGCTCCATCTGCTTCACAAGCTCCTGCCTCCCTCTGGAAAGAAGAGAGCCTGTGGGCTCCATCCCGCTCCCAGAAGTGGAAATGCCAGCATGGACATCGGGTGTGATGTCTGCTGGCTCGTGCTGTTCGGGCCAGTCACCACGACTGGGAGGCGTGCACGAGGCCTGGGACAAGGAGGGACACCTCCCTGGGGAAGAGGGACCCTTTTGCAGACCTGATCAGCTCCTGCTTCCTCCTGCACTCCAGTTCCTCCTGCATCTCGTCGGCCTTTTTCCTCTCCACCTCCATCATCTTGGCCAGGCGCTTCTCTTCTTCCTCAAGCTCTTTTGCAATGAGCTGCTTCTCAAGGATCTGCGTGTCACGGATCATGTGGCACTTGGCACCGAGTATCAGCTGCGGGGACAGAAGGTTTCCCTGGTCTCTGAGCCAGACTTGGCAGTGGCAGCAGAGACAGACAGGCAGATGAGGAGGGGGGAAAGGGAAGGGGAGGAGGACCCTGGGTAGCACCCAGCAGAGCAGGGCTTAGGTCTCGAGGGGCCAGGTGAGGCTCACGGGGGCTCTCAGCAGCCTGTCTGAGCAGGCAGCTCATGCAGGTCTTAACGTCTGCGGAAGATCCCGCAGCACCGGGTGATGCGCGGGAGCCCCCAGCTCTACCTCGCTGAACTCCTTGATCTCGTCCTCCTGCTCCAGGCGCATCCTGCTCGCCCGCTGCAGCAGGTACTGGGCCCGCTCCCGTGCCTCCTCCTCCAGCTCGCTCAGCTTCCCCGTCTGCTGCTGCAGGGCAGCCCTTTGCTTCGCCGCGCTCTTGCGCTCACTCACTGCCTCCTGGGGGGACAGGCAGCGCTGCCGAAAGCCGGGCGCCCTCCCAGTGCAGCCCCGCGAGGCGGAGCCTGCCCGAGGGTGCTGGGGGCAGCCTGGCCCGTGAGGGGCATGCTCCCCCCGTGTCCCTGGCACGGAGCCGAGGGGCACAGCAGGCTCCCCCAGCACAGGGGCTGGGCAGCCCCTTCCCACACCCCGATGGAGACGCCCCGGTCCCTTTGCAGGGTGGCAGAAATGCAACACAGAGGCTTCGTCACAGCCTCCGGGGTCACCCCGGGCGGGGAGAGCAACCGGCGTGGGATTCCTTCCCCACGCACGGACGGGGCAAACCCAGGGATCCTGCACAGCCCTTCCTGGGCTGGGGAGACCTGGGACACGCAGCTGCGCCACCTCCCCTGCCCGCTGCCCTGGCAGCAAGGGGCGCACCAGAACGTGGCTGAAAGCAGGATGGCGGTGGTGGCCCCCGGGCAGAGCTCCGCTCCGCAAGGCTGGCCCTGTCTGGGCGCATCCCCCTCCACCCGCAGCCCGAGACCTGTCAGCAAGCCGGGAACGAAGGGGCAGGAGGGGCAATGCCTACGAGAACAGCTTCCTTCTCTGCTTTGAGGGCTGCCAGCTTGACCTCGCGCTCCTCCTTGGTCAGGACTCGAGCAGCTTCCTTAATGCGCTGGAAATCCTCCCGGCCAATAACGAGGGATGCTCCCGGCTCTCCCGGTCAGTGGGGAGGCAGAAACAGAAAGTGCGGTGAAAGCGGCACCACAGCGAGGTGCACGGGGGACGGGATGACCGGTGGGGTGGCCAGGGGCCTCCCGGGAAAACCCCAAAGCGCTCAACATAGGCCTCGCCAGCCCCGGTAAAAAAAGCTGAAAGTATTTCAGTCCAGCTTGGCTTTCCCAGCCCTCATTTGGGAAAACTTTGACCACTGCCCCGACCCCTTTTCCAGTGGGACACACTGCTCATCCCTGCCCCTAGACTGACCGCCACTGCTCCTGTGTGCCGGATCGAAACCTCTGTTCTGTGTGGGGAAAGATTTTGGGGAGCAGAAGCTGCCTTTTCACGCTGTTGGGTGACATTCAGCCTGCTCCGGCTCCAGATCCGCACAGCACAGCTCGGCTTCGGCTGCGCTGCCCTGGGAATCCACCCGGCTCGAGGTGAAGAAACGCCGTGCTGCCCAAACGCGGCGCAGGCTCTGCCCTGCCAGCGCTGGCAGGTGTCCCTCCAGCCATCGCCCCGGCTCGCAGGACACTGCAGAGCCACCAACTCTGCCCGTGACTCACGCTGTGGTTTAGAGGAAATCGCTGAAGCTCTTGGTGCCCCCATTTCCCCACTTGTAAAAATGTGGATAATAATACGGGGCTGTTTTCCAGGGGAGTCGTAAGGAGTTAATTACTCTTTGTATTACTCAGATACCATGGTGACGCGTGCGGCGCGGGAGCATGTATTAACCAAATGCACAGAGCACTTTGAAGATGTTCGGGACTAAGAATTTACTCATTATTACTGTGTGTCACCTTTCATCCACCCTTGTGAATATGAAGAGATACCTGCATAATGATCATTCAAGGGCTGCATCACAGCATCGGATTCCGGGACGCTTTAAAGAATGGCTAATGGTCACAACGGCACTAATAAATGTAATGATACAGCGGCCACTGCTTTAGTTGTCTCGGTGTTTGGGTGACCAGCCTGGGATGTCCAGGGCCTGATTTTCAGGAATTAAACCAGTACAAACAGCTTCCACGAGCTTCAGCTGGAGCTGCGGCCGTGCGACACAGCAGGAAACTGGCGCTCAGCTTCGTCAGCGGGGCTAAATAAGAACACGAACGTATAAAACCGGGTACCAGCCTAGAAAGCCTGAGCCAGTGCCGCTGTGCCATTTCACTCTCCGCAAAACCCAAACCCGAAGCACCCGCGGGGCAGGTGTCACGTTTTACAGGGTGTAAGAGGGTCAAAACAGGAAGCAAAGATGAACCTTGCACTGAGCGACAACTACAAGGAAAATTTAGGGAGGTCAAAATGAGGCTAAATTGGAGCTGGCTGGGATAATGGCCCTATTCTCGCCTATGTGCTGCAGGCTTTTAACGAGGTGCAGTAATTAGGGCCAGTGTTCTTACAGTTCAGCCTCGCTTATAAAACATCCCTGTAGAGAAGCACACGGCTTCTGGGGCGCAGGGGCTGCAGGCGACGCGCTGCTGCCTTTTTCACACGGGGCTTTCCCGCGTCGGGGCATGGGAAGCAGCGCTTGGTACGTGCTGGGGGGCAGGGGCCACCCCGGGGGGCTGTTCCACCCAGAAGGAGCTTTCTTGGCTGCTGAGAAGGTTTTATGTTGCTTTTTACTGGTTCTTATGATGATTCAGAGCCTCCGCAAAAGCCCAGTGCTCAGCACGCGCAGCTCCATTGTCACCCAAGCCAGGCGTACCGGCGCGCTGCTGCCATCCCTCCTCCCCCGAGATGTCCCGGCATTCGGCAGGACAAGCTCCGTGCACCGAGGCAGTGCTGCGACAGACACGCGGGGCCCTGAAAGCGCCTCAGAGCTGCCGCTCGGGCACAGACTTACACGAGGTCACGGATGAAGTCCTTGGTGATGAGGCGGATGGTCTCAGGCTTGTGCCCGCCAGCGGGCGATGCTTTTGGGGCAGTCTGCACATCCCGAAGGATCACGATGGGGCTGCCAGACCGCGACTGCTGCAGGCTCTGCAAGAAAGGACGGGGTTTCCTACAGCTTTGCTGCCACCGCCCCGTGCTCAGCGCTCTGCCCCCAGCTCCTGGGCACAGAGGTGCTCTGGGCACGAGGGGCCCCGTGTTCCCATGAGCTCAGGCGCTTTCTGGCACCCTCTCGTACCACCAAGCCCAGTGAAGGCTGGGCACGGAAAGGGGTTTTTGCCTCAGCAGCTCCGAAGTCCTGATGAGGACACGGGGAGAACCAAAACTACCCCTACAGCACTGGTTTTACTGTAAAAATCCGGGCATCAGTCTCTCACCCAGCTCTGAAGTAAATGATGAGCTGATAGCTGTTTGCTCAGGGCAAGACCTCTCAACGCTCGCTCATCACCTCGGCTACCTTGAGCCGGTGGCAGCTGCCCCTG